TTTGTTCTATTTTTTTTTTAAGTGCATCCCCTCTGAATGTGCGCGCTCTCGCCCAGTTTGATGGGGGTGTACTTAAAGGGGGGTTGACTCTAAACTGATTTTATAGAAATGATTACATAAATCTAAATATTTTTGTTTGTTTAAATAGTGTTTACGATCCAGGTATTTTTTTCCAATTACCGTAAAGTCCAGAAAGATAGCACCCCTTTTTACAACTGTGTAACAGTTGTTTCAAATGATTTTAAAGCAGGGAAGGTATTAAAAAATCAATTCATTAAATTATATTATTATTTTATTTTATAGCATTTCAAAATACAGCAGTCGCAAAATCAAAAATTACTTATATTAATGGTGATGCTGGTATTTTAAGATATCGGTAAGTATTTTTGATTGGTTCATAAAGAGAGGAGGAGAGATGTTAATAAAAGTAAATATTATTATAATACAACATTAATAATAACAAATTAAATAAATTAGTGGATACCCAATTGAACAACTTGCTGAGAAATCTACATATCTTGAAGTTGCTTATCTATTAATTTATGGAGAACTTCCTACTAAACAACAATTTACAAATTTAATCATGAAGTTATGTATCACACATTTGTTCACTTGAATGTGACTGAATTAATGCGTAAATTTAATAATAATGCTCACCCTATGGGAATGTTTGTTAGCGGAGTTGCTTCTATGATACTTTTCCTGATGCTAATCCAGCTTTAGCTGTAAGTGATAAAAAAAAGAAAATTTAAATATTTTTATTTTATTAAACAAATTTACAATTTTATTTCATAAATATTTAAGGGGTCAGATTTGTTCATTCGTGATGAAAAAGCTCGTAATAAACAAATACTTAGACTTTTGGGTAAAACACCAACTCTAGCAGCGTGAGTTTTTAGAAAAAAGTTATAGAACTTTATATATATAATTTTTCATAAAATTAATGTTTATCAATCTACTTATTAATACATATAGAATGGCATATCTTCATCGTATCGGAAGGTAATTTTATTAATTCATTTCTATAATTATTGATCATGAATGATTAATAGTGATTACTTATATATATATTTTACCCTCTAATAAAGACAATACAATGTTACACAAAATAATCTTTCATACACAGAAAACTTTTTGTACATGCTTGATCACTTATCTGAAGAGAATTATAAACCCAACCCAAAATTAGCTCGAGCTTTAGATGTTCTATTTATTCTTCATGCAGGTAGCTGACAGTTAGTTATAAATATTCTTTGTTTTCTTTTTTATTATAAAAGCAAATAATTCATTCTCCTATATATAAATTATGAAAACCCAAAGATCATGAATTAAATTGTTCAACTGCAGCGATGAGACATATAGGTTCATCACTTGTTGATCCTTATAGTGCAATTTCAGGTGCATCTACTGCATTGTATGGCCACTCCATGGAGGTGCAAATGAAGCAGTATTGAGAATGTTGGAAGAAATCGGTTCAACAGAAAATGTACTAGGATTTTTGGAAGAAGTTAAACAAAGAAAAAGGAAGTTATTTGGATTTGGTCATAGAGTTTATAAAAATTATGATCCTAGAACAAAAATTATCAGAAAGATTGCTTTTGAGGTAGTTAATTGAACAATCAAATCGGAAAGATGAGAATGTTATTTTTTTTAAAGGATTGTTTATATAAATCGTTATATATATATATATATAATAGGTGTTTGATGTATGTGGACGTGAACCACTTATAGATGTGGCTGTTGAATTAGAAAAGGCAGCTTTGGTGGATGATTATTTTGTTGAAAGAAAACTTTATCCAAATGTTGATTTTTATTCTGGATTAATTTATAAAGCAATGGGATTTCCAACTGATATGTTTCCAGTATTATTTGGTATGAAAAATAAAAATTGGTTCACTTTTTTTTTCTTTTTTGTATTTAACAAAATAAGATTTTTATAATTAAATTCTTATTTGATTTCTATATGAAATAAAACAGCAATCCCAAGAGTTGCAGGTTGGCTAGCTCATTGGAAAGAATTATTAGAAGACAAAGAAACAAAAATTTGGAGACCAAGGCAAGTTTATGTTGGTCCAAGTGTCAGATCCTATATCCCTTTGGATTCAAGAGAATGAGTTCATAATGATGGTATTGAAGTTGCTGTGAGTATCCATAATTTTATTCTTAATTTAAATTTGATATATAATGTTTATCTAATTCATCCCATTTACATTTGATTAATAGCATCAATTTAGTAAAAGAAGTCAAGTTGCTGAATATGATAATAAAGCCAAAACAATGATTTTCTCAAAATTATAAAAAACAAAACCTTTTTTTCTCAAACAAATTTTTCATCATCCATCCATCCATCCATTCATTAATTATTTTTTTAAAAAATGTGTTTGTGCCAATTATATTACATTTCGGTCACGTGATGGTTTTTTATGTGTGCCATTACTTACTATGTGATTGCTATGTATCAGACTTAGTAGGAAGTTTTTTTACTTTTGTTAATATCCGTCCCAATAGTAAATCTCATTGTGTAATGTTAATATGAGAGACATGTGTAACATGCCTAATAATACCATGAAAAGTATAGACAAAGTTTACCACCCTGTGAACTTCTGATTTATTATACCAACTGGAAAAACTTGCTGGTCAAGGCCTCCCTCATTTCATGGCTTGCACAGTTCCAAAATACAAAGAAAGTTATGGAAATGAGTGTATGTCAAAAGAGTATAAGCCAACCACTCCTGAGCAAATAGAATTAACCAAAAAGGTTTTGAAACCCACAGCAGATAATATTATTGCAGAAAGAAGTAAACTATTTACAAGATTACATAATGAAACATCTTTTGTATACACTGCTATTGAACCAGAGTAATGTGTTTCAAATGATCACTAGAACCCTCAATTTGAAAAGAATTTGAAGTATTACAAAAATGGAAGAAGGAATTAATTGTCATGTACTTTTATATTTCTCTGCAAATAGGAAAAGAAATCAAGTTAATCAATGACAAAAAAATTATAACTTTTCTGAAGCAGATGAACTAGAAAAGGGAGTGAAAAAAGATAATATTGTTTTTGTGCTGTTTCTAAATTCAAACTGCAAAAATATGAGGTAAAAACTGTGGAGAAGGAAGACCATTTAATAAAGCTGGTAAGTTTGTTGGCATCATAGAAAATGAAAGAATAGCTGAAAAATTAAGAGATCCTAAAAAAATTAAGGATGTTAGCTGAAATAGTTTTTGAAAAACTAATTTTGGCAAGCAGTTTTGGATACCCAGAATGTTAGCTATTGAGTTAAAGTGTTCAAATAATTTTGGATATAATTTTGACAAGTAATGAAGTTGATTTCAGCAACTATGAAAAACTATTTCAGCATTTCAGATTCATTTATTAAGAGAGGCAATTTCAACTAACATGCTTAAATAAAACTTCCCAAGTCAAATTAGAAAACCAACTTAACAAGAACAAGAGAGAAAGTTTACGAATGGTTGGTTGTGGAATACTATTGTGCCTTCTAGTTATTTTAGTTATTAGGGTTAATTCTATCATCTACACTTTTTAATTTTGTAAAAATTATTCAATTACATTTTGTGCTGGCTTGGGGCAAGTAATATCTTTGAATTTATCTCTGACAAATGGGCAATTATTATTATAAAGGTATTCTCATCTTTTATAATCCAAAATAGGTGGTGCCAATATTAAAATAGATAGAGCTTTAATTTCTTCAAAAAGATCTGCTCTCTTAGTTTTCAATAAATTGAATTCAGTAAAAGATCCATTAGCAAATTCTTGAACTTTTACTGTACCAAAATTTGATGCTTCAAAAAGAAAATGTTGATATTTCTGGATACTTGGTAATTTCTTAAAATTAATTCCCAAAATAGCTTTAATATCTAAGTATTGAAAACTTTTTCCACTTTTTACCACCTCAACCACATGGTCTAGACGATCTACTCTTGTTCTCTTATAGAGTTTTTTAATCATGCCAAAACTACCATCACATTTGAATTTAATATGTCCAGAAATCATGAAATTCAATTTAACACTTTCATAATGACCACAAATTATCAAATATAAATAAAATTAAATAGTCACAAGTAATCTAAAATTTTTCACCTTTATTCAATTTCTTAATTCCATCAAAAATCATGCTAAGAATGCTATTAGGATCTTTTCCTATAATTTCATTTTTCATTAAGAACATAATTAATTTGTTCCCTTATTGCTTCATCTTGAATACCAAACAAATGAACTTTACATGGACTAAGATAATATTTCATAATTATATCCATCCTAATTTTGTGAAAATGACATAGAAGTAAATGTACCCTTGCTTGATCCAGTAATTATAAAAAAGTTTTATTATTAATTTTGTTATTACGAAGTGCATTTTCAAGACATCTGGAATACATCATCTTAATGAAGTTTCTGTGTAGGATGATTAACCTTTTCTTGATGCATGTTCACAAAAAGCTGTATATGACCACTCAGTTGCTTTTTTGAAAAAATATAAAATTGATCTATAAAATCTCTTAGACTTGCTATCCAGTTCCTTGCCCTTGTCATCTTTTGGATAATAGCAATGATTTTCAGTATTTTTTTTATCTCTCAGAGGTGTTTCCGAACTTAGAATAAGAAGGAAATATAAACCAGAATGATGACAACCACCATTCTTTAATAAACACTTACCTAGCAATCTTAGGAACGAATTCTTTCTTCTTTGTTTATTTAATAGGCAGAAGTTGTCTGATTGGCTAATTTTGCTGATCAAATTCAATTGAGTTCGCATATTATTTATATAGTTTAAAAAAAAAATAGAAATTATTACAAAAGCCTTTAAAATAATACTGACATTCACTGTGCAAAAGAAAAAAAAAAAAATCATTACAGGACCATGTGCAATCACTATATGCAAGAGACAGTCTTCCAATTTTTAATCCCACCACAGGTTTCTATGAAACGCCCATTAAGAAGGAAGTGCTAATGCAGGAAACAGTATTCCTATTCCAGCAATGAAAGTGAAGGAAGCATGGCTTTGTCATCTACCTTTAGGGTATAGCTCTTCGCATAAGCCTAGTTTGCATGGTTGTGATTCTTCCAATTGTTTTATTACTAAAACTATAATCACTGAAGAAACAGGATGGGTATTGCTATGTGGCCATGCATATCATAACACATGTTTTAACCAAGGTGGGTCCAAGTGCTTGCATTGCTTAGATTTTATTAAGGGTGGTGTTGATAAACATGTTCAATCACTTCTAAAAGTTTACATCAAACTAATTTGAATAGTAATGCTGAAGGCGAAGATCCCGATTCTATTCTTGAAGATGATAATGATGATTAAAGAATTTGCAGATGACATTTTAGCCTCATGAGATGATACAATATGGTGATTTCTTCGGCTATGGTTTTTTTGTTTGATTACTAATCATAAGATTAAGAAATGATCTACAGAAAATTAGCCAATCATATAAACTTCTGCCTATTTGATTGACAAACGCGTACACATTAATTATTTATGGTTTTTTTTTGTTGACATGAATTGATTGATTTTTTTTTCTTGGAAAAACAATTTTATTTTTCAAAGGTGGCAAAACATGAGACTCCTGTTAATGAAAGAGGTATTTTTTCTTATTTGCCTTGATATAATAATAACGTGATGATCTTTTAGTTTATAGATATTTTAAATGGAATCAAAATGCAGAGTAGAACTTGCTGGGTAAATTATAAGATTCTTGATGATGATAAATGAATGATTGGTATTTTGCTTCGTGTAAACAGTATCAATATTAATATATATAAATATATATATATAGTTACAAGATGTCAAGGCAGACTTATAATATTATTATTTTATTAGGCGAATGTGTA